GCATTGGCTGTGGGGTTGAAAGGGAGACTCTCCCCAAGGCAGGGTGTACAGCGTGCAGGGCAGGGGCTCTCTGGCTGGGGTTCTCGCTGGAGGCAGAGGTGGATGACAGCCTCACCTCTGGGCAGGGGTGTGCTGGCAGCAGCTGCGGGGTCTGTGTACTGCTCCGCACCACGTCACGTGGTAGGGCCTCAGAATGTCCCGTCCACATCCACATCTTCAGATGGGGAGACAGTTACCTCCTTCGTGCCTCGGAGTTCTATCTCATCTGTAAAATGAGGGTCGGCTCTACCGGCCCAACTGGCCCAGCTCCCCCAACACACCTCTGCTCCAGGCAGGACCCAGCCTCACCAGCCTTACTATACTCATCTGCAAAAGGGGGCTCCTACCAGGCCCCAGCCCTCCTAGGGTGGTGGTGGGGATCGAGGGACCCTGCACAGCCCTGGATTTGTTGACGGAATGACTGCAATGAGCTGTGCGCCACTCTGAAAGGCCTGATGTACCTTCAGGCGCAGGCCAGGGTCTGGTCACCAAGACAGCCCACGGGGACATGCCAGCACACCCCCCTCTTCCAAATATCCCAGAGCTCTGGCTACCACGGGCTCAGGCTGTGCTCCAGGGCCAGAGATGCAGCAGCCCCAGGCGCTGCCCACAAAAGCTCCTGGGCTGCAGAGGGAGGGGCGGGGGAGACGAAGATGAAGATGAGCACTAGGTGGAAGCCAGAGTCCATGGGTGCTCAGGAGGGAGGGATCTCAGAATGGCCTGCAACGCCACTGCAATTGGTCCCTGCGGCAGGCTGAAGAATGCGCCCCCCCCCCCCCAAATATCAGTGTCCTACTCCCTGGAACCTGATGATGTTACCTTATGTGGCCAAAGAGATTTTTGCAGATGTGGTTAAGGATCTCGGGTTGTGGAGATTATCCTGGATTATCTAGCTGGGCCCTAAACGTCATCACAGGTGTCCTCGCCACAGGAAGGCAGGAGGGGGACAAGGCAGTGGGACAAGGGGAGGAGAGAGATGGGCTCATGAGGTCCCAGGAAGGCCAGCAGCCACGAGATGCTCGAGGAGACAAGGAGCAGATTCTCCCCAGGAGCCTCCAGAGGGAACGGACCCTGCCAGTGGCATTCTGGTCCCCCCCCCCCCCGACTCATTTCAGACTTCCGGCCTCCACAAACGGAAGAGAAGACACTGGTGTTATTTTAAGCCATTACATTTGCACTGATCTGTTAGCACAGCAAGAGAAAACAGACACTGTCCCCGAGGAAGCTGGTGGGCAGGCATGTACATGGCCTCACGCCTCTCTGCTGCTCAAGGGAGCGAGTGGACAAGATAGCGATGGTCATCCCGAACTGCTTCGATGGAAAACAAAGTCACCCCAAACTTCCGTGTCTTAGTTAGCAGTAACAAACCACGCGGGGCCCACCGCACCTGACCGGCGCAAGTTATACAGCATAGGTGGCACAGGGGCAGGGCCAGGCCATCAGGCTCTCTGCCGTCTGTCCCACAGAGCACTAGGTCCTGTGGCCATCCCCTGGGCACACTCCATGACTGATGGTGAGCTGAGTACCAATGGATGGCTTTGTCTGCCACGGCCGCTAGCCCCTTCTCCCACAAGGCCACGTGTGTGCCCCCCCCCCCCGTAGCCGTCAGTAAACCACAGTCCCCCACCCACAGGCCACCACAGCCTCAGCCACGGGCACCCTCAGACCTCGAGATCCTTGAGCTGGGGCCCCACACACACATCTCTGAATAAGCAGAATGGGAAGCAGTAATTCAGGCCAGGCCAGCAAGCAAAAGCTCACATTCCATGAGCTGCCTGTGTCCCAGCCCGAGAGCCGACTTCCTACAACATCCCGGATTAAAATCCCAAAGGGACTTAGCCCATTTTGTCTTGAGTGAGCTGGGAAAAGCAGGGCCTGAGGCCAAGGGAAGTGGGCAGCCTGGCCAAACCAAAATGTGGTCCCAGGGCGTCACCATCAACTCCGGGAGAAGCCAGCAAACCGGGGTGCGTCTTGAAGGCGAGGCGTGGGGGCCCACGGCCAGCCAAGACGTGCTCTGAGTAGCAAGGGAAAGGCATGAAGGGGCAGGAGAGGGTTGGGGATGGGGGGGTGCTCAGGGGTGAAGCAGCTCCAATGGCACTCAGAACCTGAGGACAGGGGGTAGGGAAGGGAGGTAAAAAGAAGACTGGCTGTGGACAGATCCCCTCCTTTGTCTGCACAGGCCCCAAAGCGGCTGGCGGTTCTCCCCAGGTCCCTAACTCTGAGGGGTGCAGACCAGCCCCCTGCAGCTGCGGCAGCCTAGGGCCTGCTGCTGAGCTTTTCATATGACCTTTAGGGGACAGCAGACTTCGAGACGCCCAGGGCCTTGGCTGAGCAGGCAGGCAGCAAGACCACCGACTCGAGGCTTCTGAGCCTCGCTCTCCACACCGGTGCAGAGTGAGAGCAGGGGCTTCCACTTCGATGGGGGGAAACCCTTCCCTCCATGCTGTGGGCTGTCTCCCCCAGGGAAGGGACTAGGCGATACCAACTATTAATTACAGTTGACCTTGAACAACAGTGGGGGTTGAAGCGGGGGTTAGGGGTGCCGACCCCCCCCAGTCAAAAATCCACATATAATTTTTGACTCCCCCAAACTTCACTGCTAATAGCCTATCATTAACCAGAAGCCTTACCGATAACATAAACAGTTAACACACACTTCGTTCGCTGTGTGTATTAGACATTGCATTTCAATACACGAAGCTGGAGAAAAGGAAACGTTAAGAAAATCCTAAGGAAGAGAAAATCCGTTTACAGTACTGTTAAGAAATCCACGTACGAGGAAAGCCATGCACTTTGAACCTGTGTTGCTCGAGGACTGACTGTACTATTAATTATAGTGGCTATCTGACGTCAGGTACTTAGTAAAGCACTTTTAGCAACATGCTCTACCTTCATCATCATTCCCCGAATCCCTGTCATGAAGCGGCATTCACACTGGGCACAGGCAAGGGCAGAGAAGAAGCCTGGACACAAGGACAGGCCCTGCAGGCAGGAGAAGAGGTACAGAGAGGCTTCCCTGGGCCCTCAGTGGGCTCCAAGCCCATCTTCCTGTTCAGGGACCAGGGCTTCAGGGCTGTCCTGAGAGCCTGTGGAGAAGGCAGAAGCAGCCAGAAGGCCTGGGGGCAGGGTCCTGGATGTTGTCCCCAAAAGCCCACAGGCCTCCCATCTTTGACTTCCCCCGGTGGTGGCCCCATCTCAAAAAGGGATCCCAGAACCACCCTCCCTCTGCCCTAGGGCCCTGTGCACCCCCCTCCAACGCCCCCCCCAACAATCTGCCACTCACACTACCCCAGCTCTGGGAATCTCTGATCAGATCCCCACCCCCTCCCCGGGCCAAACCTAGCCCTGGGCGGGGGCTGGGCAGAGGAGAGGCAGAGGAGAGGGGAGAGGGCCTCTTCCTGCTGGGGCCTCCTCCTCACCCGCCTCTGTAGTAACCCACTCAACACAGAACTAAAGATGGATGGCCGTTCTGGTTCTCAGAGGCACAGCTGACCATTTAAGGCCCTTCCCCACGGGGCTAGTGTACAGTTTCACACCTCCAAGACTTTCCCCTGGGCCTGCAATGCCCTGCCCTTTCTCTTCTGCTTCCTAAATTGTGCATCCTGAGCCACAGCAGCAGTGAAGCATCTGCAGCGAACTCTCCCCCAGGCCCAGGCAGCTCCCTGCCCCTGGACTCCGGCACTGGGCAAGCACTCACAGGGGCTTATCTGTTAACCCATATGCCTCGCCAGTCAGAAGGGAAGCTCATCAGGGCACTGGCCCCACCTCAATGTCCTGGCACCCAGCCCTGGACTGGCCTAAAGCAGCTGCAGCTGGGTCCACCCTGCCCTGCCCAGTCCCTCAGCCGGGCAGAGCAGCCAGGCCTCCCCACCCCTACCCCAGGACTCTGGGGACTGGAGCAAGGACCAGGCCCAAAGACTCTGCGAGGTCTCAATCCTTGCAGCTGAACATGGCGGTTCCCTCAGGAGGCCTCACACTCAGAGCTGGCTGACCCCTACCCTCAAACCCCTTTCTTCCAGGAAGTCACCTAGATTTCCCCCTGGAATGGGTGGCCTCGGCACTATACTCTCCAAAGCTGGTACAGGAAGATTCTGACCTGTGAGCCAGGCTGATCTGGGTTTGAATTTTGTCTCAGCAGCCCTGAGGGACAAGGTAGCTCACTTCATCCTCTGCTCTACCCTCCTCATCCCTGTGAGGGCGGGGGCAGATTCCCTCCGCATGAAATGAAACCTGGACAGACCTGGCTCCTGTTACTGATCTTCTGTCCTACTTCACCTCTGGACCCCAGGCGGGTTTCCCCAGGTGCCCAACTCTGAGGGGAGCTGGCAGGATCAGAGAAGCCCAAGATCCATTCTCTCCCAGATCTCCCCATGCCCCCAGGCCAGTCTGACACACCCGAGCCTAATAGCCCTGGAAAAGGCCCCGGTCCAACCAGGGAGGGTCAGGAGGGGACTCGGTCTTGGCCCTGCCCCCTTCCCAAGCCTCCAAGGGCCAGGGTTGAGGGGGACATCCAGGTGGGCTTGTGTTAACTGAATGGATGGAGGAGGACTGGGAGGAGAACAGGAAAGAGGAATGGTGAGGAAGATGAGAAGAGACAGTCAAGCCCGGGGGAGGGGGTGTTAAATCTCACCGCGTCGGTACTAAGACCCTGGCTCCGGAACACCCACCCAGGGGGAGGTGGAAGAGGCGCCAAGCCGCGGGGTGGGGATGGGGGTGGGCAGTAGCCCGGGGGGCGGATTCTCGAAGCCCCCCCACCCCCGCCCCGACCCTCAAGGCCCGCGCTCCCCTCCTTCCTCCCCCGCCTGCAGATGCGCACCGGCACACCTATTCGTGCTCACAGGGCACGCACCTGCCCGCGCCGCACGCACGCACGCACACACACACACACACACACACACACCTCTGAAACACACACGAACACGCGCGCTCGCACACGCCTCCCTCTACGCAGCGCCTCCTACCTGCCGCGTCGCCGCGGCTCGGGCCGGCCACAGATGCAGGGCACTGCGCGGCCGCGGGAACCCAGGCTGCACCCGCCTCGGGCTCGGGCCGGGGATCCGGCTGGGGCCGGTCTGGGGCGGGGGCTCGAGCTCCGACTCCCTCCTAGGCTGCGGCCCGCCCCGCCCCGCGGCCTCCGCCCATTTGGGGACAGAGGCGTGGTCTCCAGCGGGGCGGGCGGGCCAGGATCGCTGCGCAGGCGAACTGGCGCCGTGCCTCGGGGCGAACGGGCTGGGAGGTGGCCTGCGGGTTCCCTCTCCCCCGGAGGAGGGCGACTTGGTGGCCGCAGAGCTTGGCCCGACCTCTCCCGGCTCGGTCAGGCGCCCGCTCTTCCTCCTTCCCTGCCCACCTCTCTCTTTCCGCCGTGGAGTATCTCCGGGAGCGCCCCAGGGCCGAACTCGAAGGTTCTGTGCCGGCCCCGCACAGGGCTTGCAGGCCGGCTGCGCTTCGGGCATGCATCTTGTGTAGAGAGCCGCGCAAGGCCCAGACAGGGGGGCTGGGAAAAGCGGGGCTTGAGGGAGGCGAGCGCCCATCTCTTCCCCATCTCCAAGGTTCGGGATGGGCGGGGGTGGGGGTGGGGGAGGGGCTCTAGAGCCCAGAAAGGCACACACGAGGAAGGCCCTTAGATGGGGAAAGCTGGCCCCAGACCCGTATTGGGCACTGACGCGTGGGTCATAGGACCGCTTCAGGAGCTGCAGGTTTCTGGAATAAGGTTGAGAAGGTTTGTGAATGACCAACCCTGGCACACAGTGGGGGCTCAGGGCTTCTGGGAAACGTGCCTCTCTGATCTGTTCATCCGAGGCCTACGCTAGCCCACTTTGCAGATACAGAAACTCCTCCCACTCACCGGGATTCTCCGTCTCGTTTAATGATCTCATTAACTTCTCAGGCACCCAGACTACTCGGCCACCGCCTCACACTCTTCGTCCCAGACCTCCCAGATGTTTCTTTCTCCCCAGGATGTAGCTCCAGCCCCCCCCCCCCCCCCCCCCCCCCCCCTCTAGTCCCTATCAGCCAAGGAAGACTTTCAAATATGCAACCCTGAGCGGCTGCCCACAGAACAATGTTCCAAAATTGCCCCAGGGCCGGGCTCCCCCAATCATAGCCCGTTGCTGGGCCCGTGCCCTGGGGAGGCTGTCAGTGCTCCTCCCGAGGCCGGCCCAGGCCAACGGTTCCCCGGCGACCCTCAGGCCCTTTATGCGGCTCTGCTGCTATCTGGAAAACTCTTCCTTCCTCCAGGAGGCAAGTGCTGGGTATCAAGCCTCTGAAGCCGTTGCCTCCATCACCAAGCCCCGCCCCCACCTCTCCACTAGGAAGCCCCACCCCCTTCTTCCGCTTTCCCACCAGCTGTTTGTGCTTCTCTTCTGGCCCTAAATCCCCGAGGCCTCTCGGAGTTAGTGGTGGAGTCTCGGCCTTCCCCTGGCCTCCTCGTGAGGCTGAGCCTCATTCCGGGGGAGACGGTAATACTTGGTGGAGCCTGGCAGGTCTGGTCCAGTCCTCACTCTGCCCGTCATTGGCTGTGTGACCTGAGCGACTCCTCTATCCCTTTTTCTGTCTGTAAACCGACTTCTAGGGGAAATATGAGATGATCCGGTATAGGCAAGTTGCGGCGGCCCAGTAAGGCCCCGTCATGTAGGGTGTTGGGTAGTATTGCCTCTGGGCTGGGGGACTCCCCCATGTTCAAAGGTGGGCGCTGGGGTCATGTGTGAGAAGCTCTTTGCCTCAGCCTGCAGAAGAGTGGGGCCTAGAAGATGCCGCTCTGGTTTTCAGAGCGTTGCAACACAGGAAGGGTGTCGGGTGAGGATTGCAAGCGTGAACTTCGGACTCACTGCCTGCATTCGTATTGGTGGTGTGACCTTGGGTCAGCCACCTAACCTCTCTGTGTTCCGGTTATGATAGGAAGTGATAGTATAAAATAGGCAGAGAGGGAAAGGATAGGACCTGAGGTGCCCGGATGTGGAAAAACACATTTTGGAGCAATGCTGGGAGTGTCTGACCACAGCAAACCCCCTCAGGCTTAAGGTTCCTCTCAAGAGGGTAACAGACCCCGTCTACCCTCCTCAAGTTTCCCTCAGGAATTTGAGGAAAGACCTAGGTATGGCCCTAGGCCACCCATCGTACAATGGAAACGAGCCACTCAGGAATGGACCACCCAGCACCTGGAGCTGTCCAGCCAATAAGGGTGGGACCTGGGAAGGAACAAGGAAGAAGGGGAGGGGAGGGGAGGGCTCACCAAAACCTTATAAAACAAGGACCCTTGCCTTTGTGGTGGACATTCCCTTTCGAGTGTCCCTTCTCTGTAAAGAGAGCTTTCCTACTATTCTAACTTTCTAATCTTATCCTCTAATAAACTTTTGTCTGCTGCTCATTTCATGCCCACCTCTTTGTTCTTCAAAGCGGCGAGGCGACGAATCCAATCCTGGGTATTGTGGTAAAAAAAATCCTGCAACACAGTCGCCTCCCTATAAAATCAGTACAGTAGCCTTCACGTCATGGGGTTGAGGGAGTTAAATGGGCCATCCCTGTAAAGGCCCTAGAAGCAGCCCCTGGCTCAGAGTCAGTGCTCAGCACACTTCATCTAGTCCCACCGTCTCTTTTTGTGCAGGTGCTGGGTCCTGAGAAGCAGAGACAAGTACACAGGGCTAGTCAGAAGGCCAGGCATTCCAGAATGTCAGAACTGAAGGGCCCACTCAGAGCCCGTCCCTGGCGGTTCCCATCTTCTCGGACAGATGAGGAAAGAAGCTGAGAGAGAGAGATAGTGACCTGTCCAGGGCACCCATCCTGGCTGGGGGTGTGGCCGGAGGCACTGGCCCTGCTCTTGCTGAGGGGAGAGCCGTGTATGGTCTGCAGACAAGCCCGGAAGAACGTGATCTCCCAACAGGCTTGAGGAAGGGGTGGGGCTCTAGCGATGCCCTGCTGGTGCTCAGTTTTCATGAACTGAGTCACTGAATGGTGCCATCATGAGGCCTGCTGTGTAGGTGCTTGTCCCACTTCATTCTCACAGCTGTCCTCTGCAGAAGCCCCCATGAGGCCCATCGTGCAGATGACAGAACTGAGCCTCAGAGGCATGCCCCAGTGATCTGGGACCCACCCCTACCCTGTCTGACTCCACTCTTGTCCCCCCCCTTCTCCTTCACCTTCTCATTCTCCTCCTTCTCCTCCTCTTCCTCTTTTCTCCCCCAGGGAAAAGTCACCTCTGTGGGCTCCTTGACTGACTATCCAATTTCTGCTTGCATCCCCCTGCAACTGGGATCTCATTCCCTCACCAGGCAGCCCTTTCAACTCCTCTTGGGAGAGTCTTTTGTCACCCAAAGCTGACCCTCTTCCCCCTCCATGGTTCTGCAGGCCTCCACGCCCCTCACTTCACCAGAAGTGGGGCAGAACTCCCTTATCTTGACTGTTCCTGTGTGTAATCAGGTCTCCCAAGTGAAATTCATACAATAATAATTTCTTTCAAAAACCTCAGCACATCTAATTGGCTACCTATTGTCTGAGAACCCTAAAGGAAGCCTCTCAGCATGGGGTGGGGGGAGTGGCTGGTGTCTCAGGGGGAAATATTCAAATAACTGAGTCAACCAGTTCCCCTACTCCCATCTAGCCATGGGGTCAGGATTGTAGGGAGAGGAGTTGAGTCAGACACAGAACTTTCAGGCTGAAAGTGATTGTTAACGGGATTCTCCCGAGACGTAGGAGACGGGACAGTCACACTGGACTTCCAGCAGACACATGGAAAATGGCAATGCAGAGGACAAGATCACCTTTGAGTTGCTCTTAATTCCGTGCTTCTCTGAAATATCCTGGATATTACGAAGAACCAGCCAGAGCCAAGTGGGATGTATTCCAGGAATGCAAGGTTGGTTTAATATTAGAGAATCCATTAATTGCATTAGTTTGCTAGGGCTACCATAACAAAGTACTACAACTAGGCCACTTAAACAACAGAAATGTATTGTCTCACAGATCTGGAGTCTAGAAGTCCAAGATCACATGCCATCAGGGTTGGGACCTTCTGAGGGCTGTGAAGGAGAATCTGTTCCATGCCTTCCTCCTAGCTTCTGGTGGTTTGCTGGGAATCACTGTGTAGACGATTCTTGTGTAGACACAACACCCTGATCTATATTTTCATGTTCACATGTGTTCTCCCTTTGTGTGTCTCTATCTCTATGTCCAAATGTCCCCTTTTTATGAAGACACCAGTCATGTTGGATTAGGGTCCACCCTAGTGACCTCATTTCTTGCTCACCTTTTTAAAGACCTTATTTCCAAGGAAGATTACATTCTGAGGTACTGGGGGTTAGACTTCAGTATCTTTTGGGGGACACAAGTGAACCCATAATAAGCATGTGCGATATTAATGAATCTAAGAGAAAAACCATATAATCTCTATAGACATCAAGAAAGGCTTTAACAGGATTCGACACCCATTCATGACAAAAATAGTGAAATAGGAAGTGAGGGATACGTCTTCAAATGATAAAATGTGGTTTTAAAGCCAGCATCTTATGTAATCAAAGAAACACTGAAAACACTTCCCTGGGGATCAGGAACCAGGCAAGAATGGCCCCTTGCTCCACCACTATCCCACATTGTACTAGAGGTGTTGGGCTAATGCAATTAGACAAGATAATTCCATTGGCGGCCTGACAATAAGTAAAGAAGAAATAAAATTCCCTGGAAAGCCACAGAGAAGCAATGACAAAACAGATTCAAACAGTAAAAGAGCTCAGTAAAGTAGCAGGATGTAAAGCTAAAATATAAAATTCAATAGCTTTTATGTATACAAACAATTAACAGAGGTCCTAAGGGTAGAGAAAACTCTATTTGGGACAACAACAACAAAAATTAACTGCTTAGGAGCAAATTTAATTAGAAATGTCTAAGACCTGTATGAGGAAACACTGAAACATTCTTGAAAAGCACTAAAGAAGAACAGTTGAAAAGACACCCTCTGAGAGATGAGTCAACATTACAAAGATGTTAGTTCTCCTATATTAATTTGCAATTTCAATGCAATCCCATTAAAAATAACGGCAAGCTATTTTATGAAGACAGACGAG